TAATCCTTTCAGCGAACAAGTCAGCACACAATGACGATGATGATGATGAATCGTCAGTCAAATAATTTTTCCAGTACAGTAATGAAGTATGCAAAAAACGTCCATTTCAAAATAAATTCCTCCTCAGAACAGAGCAACCGGTTTGCTCTTGTTTGATTGTAAATCAAAAAATCTAACCAAAAATTACCAAAAATTACCGAAAAAACACCGAAATTATTTCATAAATTCAGTTCAATTTCCATATCTACACATCACATGGATTGGCCACAGGCTTTCAGACGTCTGTAAAGTTGCTGCTAGTTTTTCAATCAGTTCCTCTAAGCCTTGCCTTCTTTTGCCGGGTGCTACTCGATCGGTTCATTCGTAATTTTATCGCTCCATCTTAATCGATACCTCCCAAGTGATTTTTTCATTTCTCTTACGATCAGATACCAACCCGTAACCACCCGATTCCATCTGTCATCGTTGATTGTTTCTAGAGGCTTGCCCAAATTAGCTACTCTGTGATCACCTCTTGCAATCCAGTCCTTCGATAAACCTTCTCACATCTGATTCATCAGAAGTGATATTCCTAAGATGCCCTCTCCATCGTTTTCTATGTTTCTATGTACATAAAATATCAATATATCGATAAGATACACTGATATATTACACCATTACAAACCTCCAAAAATAAGCATCTACTCCTATGCATGTACATATTTGTTTACTATCATATCAATTATTTGAAACTTCAAAAAGTTCCAGATTACTCGTCAGTAGTGTGCAACTTCTCAACAGCATTATAAATCCTTAAAATTGAAGAAACGCTTCATGAGTTGAAAATATACAAGCAGATTTATTTTTCCTCCAAACAACGTGTCAAACCAACAATTACTGCACACGGAGGAATTTCCTTTTCCTTATGTTAATAAACACACTACTGCACTAGAACTCAAAAAATAACTGAAAATAACAAAATATGAGTATAAGTAATCACAACACAAACACTTCAATCGAACACAAAGGAATGTGCATTCAAAAAAAGATGATTAAATAATGACGATATCAGTCAAAAAAATTTCAAGTGGATTCTCTCATACAGCTCGTGTATCTATCTCATTTACCCATCCACTTACTGATAATTACAATTACAATTACAATTTGTGTACGTTCTACCAGCTCCTTCATTAAGCACACTCATCCTACCAGCTTATCACAACGAAATTATCACTCTATCAAAACGAACTGTTGCTTTATTGATAGCCTCAATACCACACCAACTCTACTGATCTTATCGATTTCACCTATTGATAACAACACCACTATCTCAATACCACCATAACAAACAATCACAACGACAAAATAAACAATAATATGACAATAAAAGGAGCAATAAGATAACAATGATCACAACAGTGATAGTAATAATAATAATAATAATAATAATAATAATAACAATAATAATCACAACAACAACGCAAATAACAATACTCACAATTACAACCTAAAACTTTACCAATCGTTTTGGTTACTATAAGAAAGTTTCAATAATAACAATGTAAAGACATGAATACAAATAAATTCAGAACAATATTCACCTAAAACGCGAATTAAAAAATTTAAAACATCACAAAGATCAGACTAAATTCATTTCCATAGAGAAGAGAAGATCCTTCAGAAACCCTTAAAAATTGATATCAAAATCAAAATTAACGAATACAATTCCAAACATATAAATAAATCACTCAAGCCTTAAACCAGCGATTGCATTAAAGTTTCAAGTTTTCTCGAAAATTGCTCGAAAGTGAACAACGATTGCACACGTTTTCTACCCGCTTCACCGATCTCTTGCCTGTTCAGTTCGCCTCTAATCAATTTGGCCATCACTTCGGCGAACGCCCTCGCATTCGACTCCACCAAAAACCCACTCGAACCGTTCTCGATCGACTCGTTCGGTCCACCCGAATTGACCGCAATCACACAACTTCGCATATACATCGCTTCTACCGGCACTATGCCGAAATGCTCATTCGACGGTGTGTACAAAACGGCTGTCGAACGACGTAACAGCTCAATTTTTACACTGTCAGCTGCAAACTTTCAAAAATGATTTTACTAACGTACGATGACAGATGACTGACTTGATTGCACCGAGTAAAAATTATTCATCAAACCGTAATTATAATTTGCAGTTCAAAGTTATTCTCACATGCTTCCAGTTTCATCAACATTCATTCAAACCCATACCAGTCACTTCATTATATGCCTACTTTTGCCACTGAACTGATGATAGTATTGCTATTGATACTACTATTCTCATCGTTATCAAAAAGTATCAATAATAAGTAATTAAAAACATGAACACTTAAATATTTTTCGATTCAAATCACTACTTCGACAACTGTCCTCATCTTACAAGAAATTGTCTCCATAACCACCAAAATCAAACAATCATTCTATAAACCAATGCACTGTCACACACCATAATTCAACAACAGCAATACTTCAAACGTTATCCAAATATTCCGCATATTCAATCACCAAAATGTGTTCCTCTTTTCAACGAAACTTATCTCATCTTGAAACAATCCCAAACGCGAGCAGAACCAATCGAATGCACTTACACGGCGATCTCAAGAACGCAATCTGTTTCGTCGATATGGCCGCATCAACAGAATACTCCTTCAGTTCACGATGATGCAACAGATTCTCCTCGTTCAGCTTATCGAACCCACCCGCGATCACCAAATAACATTCGCGATATAGATCGTCGCTTATCAACGATTTCAATTCGGCTGAAATTTTGCGGCTGAATTTTGACTGGCTACAACAAAACTCACACCATTTTGTAGCCTCTGATATTATACAAATGCACTTCTAAGTTCCCCAACGCTTCACTCTTCATGAATGTGATCGTGTTATTTCACATACTCCTATGTTTTTGATACTTATCGTTGAGTTTAGTTTAATTGCGTTGAATTATTATATCTTTGCTTCTGTGAAATCACACATGCGCAAGTATATTTAAAAAAAAACTCCTAGAAGACCGTTGAATTTTATAACAAAAATAACAAAATCTGTAAACTCTTGATGAAATCGCTCTTCACTACAAAAGCCGAATAATTCTTCGTTTTAAAGAACAGTTTCACTTCAAATTTGCCAATCTATTTGCTAAAATCATGAAGTTGCAACTGTAACTCTTGTTGCATTAAACAAACCAGAATTTAACTTCATAAATAAACATCTAACCAACCGAACGCATCGATTGCCAACTTGATATTTTTCTTCCGCTCATACCGATTGATCGAAACGAACAGATATTTCGCACTGGACGGCACGTCTTCCAGTTCTGTTTCTGGTGCACTATCGAAGAACTTCGTATTAAGCGTTGGATATAAAACTTTGAGTTTAGTCGCGTCCAAATGTGGAAATGTTTCGGCGACAACACCCTTCGTAAAATTACTATTCACACAAATCAGATCAGCCATTCCTATGCTCCAACCCTTGAAAAAATCGGCTCGAATAAGGTATCACGTAAAAACGGAACTATTAAAACGTTCGTAAACAACAGTAATAACAATCTGCACAAAATGAAATAAATGCATAAAGCAGCCTACCTCTAACCGATCCACTACGTATCGATAGAGTCTCTTGAAGAATCCTTGATGTTCGGTCAATAATAAATCCGGAAAATGACAATAAAAAAAGAGCGGCGCTTGGCATAGACCGAACAATCTGAACAAACGGAACACAACCAGGCACGCAGATATCTGAAATTTTCTCATTATGCTACATTAGAACCTCTTTTTTTCGGTGTGAATGAACGATTCCGAAGAGTTTTTCGTTCACTAATCACTGGAAAATAAAATTCCGCAAACAGTTCAGGGAACAAACCGAATCGCAAAATATCAAATCCGACTGCACATTCAAGCAAACGTATACCGCGGCTAAACACATTCGTACATAAGCGCATAACGCTACACAACGTCCGAATATTGAACGAGGCAGAAAATTCACAGTTCGAATATCTGAAACTTGGGCATCTGATGGATGCTGAAACTGAAATTTGAGTAAATCTAGGAAAAATTTTGAGGTGAATATTATGAAATGGAGCGATTCACTTATGATGATGATGATTTTGAGTTTCGTGAAAATATTTTGCTATCAATTTCTTTGCTTGTGCAGATTTTCACACAGCCATTTTACGATCGGTACATCCAACAATTTCAGTATA